AATCTTGTTTGTGTTTTATCTCTCCAGTTCTCATAGCAACCACCCAAGTAAACGGTTTTATATTTTCAAGAAGCATTCAGGAATTCTCAGGTAACTGGTTGATCCTTTTCCATTCTTTTACTGAAAAATTATAGTAACTTTTAAAAACGTAATAGTTGGGTACCTGATTTGAAACTCTCAGTGATTGTTACTGGACATGATACAATTCTGTTCACTATATTCTTTGATCATAGTGAGGGATGGCCTGTCATCTCTGACTGAACTTTGGTTCAGTGGTGCCAGGCATTGAGATCAAATCTTCATGCATTTGCATTGTAAAACAAAAAATAAGGCTAATAATATTTGAATAGAAATAAGTTCATTAAAACATTGTAATAGTTAAAATTAATATATAGCTTTCAAATTCTTAATTTTTCTTTATGAAATAAAAGTACATAGCTTGCTTACTGTACAGAAAGAATTACTGATTAATATTTTTAAATGATAATTAACTTTGGTTATATCGAAAATACTTAGAAGCTGCTAAGCATTGTGGGTTTTTCAGTTTTCTAATTCCTTTTACATCCATCTTTCCTTGTTTAATTGTTTTGCTCATATTGAATAGTGCATGGCATGTAATAGGCATTCAGAAAATATTTGTTAAAGAAGTTAATGTACATATTGAAAACAACATGTGGATGATTTTGAACCAACAACTCATAAATGGAGGGAAATTTGATTCAATTTTTAAAACATAGTCATGCTATTTTAAATCATTACTCAATTCAGTGACTTGGGGGGAAAAAGTAAAATAAGTATTACCTTTACTGAATATTTTTAAAGAATTAAAATAGGTTTAATGTTGAAGATGAGATTTTAATTTGATTTTCACTTTGTTGACAAGTTCACTTGTGTGCTTGGTTTCTAAATTAACTGTATGATTTTAAAGATCTGAGATGCTTTTTTCCTAACTTGGGTGGTTCTCAATTTTAAAAAGAAAATTAGTCAATTTTTTATATATGGTACTTAGTATGTTTATAGTTCTATAGAATAATATTTTTGTAATTACTATTTTATTAAAATGAATTCTTTATTTTTTTAATTAATTGTTGTACATCCGCCACATATACAACAGAATATATCAGATCCTATACAAATTATGGTGATAAAGAAGGCAGCCAGCTTGGTACCTTCCTTCAAGGAATGTACAATTTATTGGAGGGATATAAATGTATGAACAAAAATAACTACAGTAATACAAGGAGGTTTGTAATAAGTACAATCAAAGCAACTGATTTCAAAGGACAGAGATGTTTTCTGCTTCTAAGAGGCACAGGAGCATTCTAGTTGGAAGAAATATCACGAATAAAAGTTTGCATAATGGGAAACAGCATACAGTACACATTCAGACATTCACAGTGGATAATTTGTAGTGTATTTTGGGAAAAACACAAAGTTTACATAATGTGGTATTAAAATCAATGTCTGCAGGAATAGTTTTAATTTTATTTATCTTTATTTTTATTTATTTATTTTTATGTGGTGCTGAAGATCAAACTCAGTGCCTCACACGTGGCAAGCAAGTGCTCTGCCACTGAGCCACAACTTCAGCCCATGGGAGAATGGTTTTGAGCTTAGATCCATAGTTTAGAATTCTTTAAAACGATTCCAAGTCATTTATACTTAATTTTAATTTGGAGAACATTGGGGAAACCATCGTTTTTTTGAGTAGAATCAAGGGTTCCAAAGGAAGACTGTGATTGGGTATATAAGATAAGTTGTAGTTGCATGAGGCATAGACTGATAAAGGTTATTGTGGTAGTTAAAACTGATTTAATGATGACCTAGGTAGTGAAGTGTTATCACATCATATTTAATATCATGAGCTCTGGAATCAAAGGGTTCAGTTTCAAACCTCATGCTGGCCTTGGTAGTTAAGTAAACTTGATCCTGTCCTCTATAGAAAAGTGCTAATGATAGCACCTGCTTCTCTGGGTTGTTAGAAAATATAAATCAGCTGGTATGTCTAAAACCCTCAACCTGGCACAGCATAAATGCCCAATAAATTGTTACTGTTCTAGATGTTTGAAATATTGGATGTTTTAAGGAAAAGATAACTACTGGTTTGTATCAATGTCAGGGAAGTGGCACCATAAGAGAGAACAAACAGGAAGGATGATTTGGGGGAGGAAGCCCACAATTTCAGTTTTACAAAGATAATATGTGATTCATCTGAGTAAGAGCTAGGTATAAAAACAGACTATTAAGACTAGAACTTCAGGGGAGAATGAATCTAAGGTATATT